CAACCCGGAGCAATCTGTGGCCACGGCACTAGCCTCGTCCCCACCGGCGATTCACTTCCATCGCGAGCTTAGCGGACAGGAACAAACGCAACTCGTGGCGCTGCTAGCGCTCGTCAATCCGTGTCGTTGTCCACGTCGCAGACTCGGTGACTTGGGCTCTCACCCCGTCCGGCAAGTTTTCGGTCAAGTCCCTTTACCGCAAACTGTGTCAGGGGCCGCCCCTCTAGGTGCCTACGGGACTGTGGAAATCGCGTCTTTCGCTCAAGATTAAGGTGTTCTTTTGGCAGCTGTTTCGGAACAGGCTACCCACCTCGGCAAACGTCGCCAAAAGAAATGGCCCGTCGACCGGCGTTTGTGCGATCTGTAGCGCGCCTGAAGATGCGAATCACGTTTTCTTCCGATGCCCGATGGCCCGTTTTGCTTTGAGTGCAGCCCGGTCTGCGGCCAACACATCTTGGGACCCGAGGTCGTCCTCTGATCTTGCGGCCATTCTTGACTCCGTGCAAGGAAGCCACAAGCGAGTTCTTTGGAGCTGTATTGGAGCTCTGTTTTGGGCTATTTGGCTCACTAGGAACAAATTAGCGATCGAGGGGATCTTCCCGACTCACCCTGCTAACTTAATCTACAAATGCAACATATTCCCGCAGTAGTGGACTCCGTTGGCGAGACGCAAGGATGCAGAGAATTTGATGCAAGCTCAAGATCGTGTTCGTCAGGTCTATGTTTTGGCAAGGGAACCAGATGGCACTTCTACTCCGTGAAGTGCCCTTTTGTCATCCGAGCGAGCATGCGTGCTCTATGCTGTTGGCCTTTGGCCATGTAATATGCCCGCTCGTGCTTCTTTTGGCCGTTTGAACTCTCTAGATACCGCTTTCCGGGTAGCTTGAGCCTCCGTGCTCTTTTCGCTTGTTTATGACTTGACTTGTGTGTTACGGTGCCTATGTTGTGGGCTTTATTAATTTAAAGCCGGACGCTTCTAGCGTTTTTGTCCAAAAAAAAAGTTAAAATGCCGTAACTTCTCAGAAAGGAAATTCTTTTGAAGATCAAAGTGTGTACCGAATGTTAGCAGCAGCGACGCTTCAGCCATACAAAATGTATGTTTGTAGTACTAAAAGTAGTAAAGAACAAAGAACACATGACATGTTTCTCAAAAAAGAAAAAAGAAAAGACAACATGGCTGATCTGCAACGGTCCGGCGCAGGGCAGAGGCGACGACGACGACGGCGACGGCGACGAGGAGCAGCGCTGGGGCGTCGGGCACGGAAGACGAACTGAAATAAATTTTTCACAAGTGCTAATTATATACCCAAGGCATTGGTACCGGTTCGTGGCACCAACCGGTACCAATGCCCCCCTTTAGTCTCGGTTGGTG